CCCAATCCATAGATGAAAACTTTAAAACGTCTTAATGTTAGATATTGGGCTTTATGAAAAGATTTAATTTAACATTGCATAGACAAACCAAAATTTCCCAGAAACTTTCTGAAGAAACTTAGGAATAACTAGAGAAATTTTACCAGTTCATTAAAAATTTAAGGATTGAAAAGTCGTTCAAACTGAGTAATATCCTTAATATGGATGAAACTTTGGTTTGATTTGATATAGCCAGTATTTATATGATTAACCCTAAAGGAGAGAAGACAGTTCATATTTGAGTCACAGAAAATGAAAGGAACTGATTTACAGTAGTTCTTACATGTGTCTCAGGTAACTTTTTTTCATTTTTATTTTTTTTACTTTTCCCGCCTTTTCCACTTAATTTTTTTCTTTTTCTTTATTTGATTTCTTAATCTTATTACTATAAACAGGTTCAAATTCCCACCAATTTGTATCTTTAAAGGCAAATAAATATCGCGTGAAAAAAACATGCCACCGGGAGTCATTATTTGATTTTAAACTAACAGTTGAATAGACACTAATTTTGATGCAGAGATATATAGATTATTTCAATGATGTAAGGATGAGAAATGGAACACAAGAAGATCTGACAATACTCGTTTATGATTCAATTAAAGACCACTTAAAAGATTTGATTAAAAAAAAATTTTGTGAAAGTGGTGTCTATATCGTGATAATCCTAGGCGATTTGAAAAGTAAATACCAACCACTTGATATCTCTATTAATAAGCCATTTAAATACAATCTTTGAAAGGAGTGGCATTCTTGGATAGCAGATGGTGATGCCAGAGAAACTGCCTCAGGAAATCTTCATTATGTAAGTCTTAGTGATGTGTGTTTATGGATAAAATGTTCGTGGGAAGGTATATCTATTGTTAAGTCCTTTAAAAAGTGCAATATTTCAAATAATTTGGACTTGGGTAATATTAGTGATGATGATGTTAATGATTGTGATAACGATCATGATGATGATGATTATGATTCTAATACTACTATTAGTGAAAATGATATCATTGACATTATGAATTAATTTTTTCCACTAGAAATTATATATTTTTTGTATGAACACATTTTTTTTATTGTAATAATAAAATAAACAATTGAATGTATTTATAATATGTTTATAAAGCCAAATTACTTATTTATTTAAAAAAAATTTTATTAAAATAAAAATTCAATTTTTCTGAAATGTTGCTTATTTTCGAAACTTATATAAAACAGATGTTGCTTATTTTCGAAAGAATACGATAGAACGAATGATAAAGCTAATATCAACACAGCATCTAGTTGCTAATATTAGAACTCAGTCTCACTAGACATTCTGATAATCTAATTTCAATATATTTATGATAATTGACTCTGATGCTAATTATCCTATTATAGCTATAAACAGACAAATACTAACTCAAGGTATTATTGCCACCTTAATGTCAAGATTTGTTAATAGATTACTCAATGATCAAGCAGGATAGTAGAACTCTACTGATCTAACTAATCAGAAACAGTGATCATTAGCTTGAAAGAATTTTTTTGCATTTAGATGTGTCCTGTATGACAAAAATATAGATTAGCTAACCATTTCTAGATATAGACACTGGCCAGCACTAGATGGATTTTTGATGAATATTTTGTGCAATTGTTAAGAAGAGACCTTTGGAAATAATGGTAGCCCCTTTCTGGTTAAATAAAATATTTTTACTTTCCTATCAATGAATTTTTGTATTAATACACTTGAAACATCTTTTAAGTGGCCATAGTATTCCTCAAACTTTTGAAGATATTCTCTTGCAGTTTTATCAACCTCTTCTGCCATTTCTTGATTAGTGTAGCCAATAATATTAAGTTTTTCCTAAATTGCTATTATATTCTCTTTTAAATACATAAGCAAATTAAATATCTCCTTCAATGAAATATCTGTAGAAGCTTCATTGCTTTGATATTCTACTTCTAGAATAGGATTACCATCAATGTTGAGATTCTTCTGTATCGGTATTAAATCCCCTACCAATTCTAATAACAGCTTATATGAATCGGCAAGTATTTTCTGCTTTTTTGCTTTAATGATTGCCATTTGATTTGCATTATTATTAGGAAACGGTATTACCATTGTGAAGTTCAGAGCTTAAAATCATGTGAATTAATTATGTCAATATCATTGAATATGTTATGCAGATCAAAATCAATTTATTATACATCACGCAAATTAAATTGTAAAACATCATGCAAATCAGAATTACATACTTTGCAATATATTATATAAGAATCTTTTTTTATTTCAGATTATAAAAGATCAATAAACAATACTATTAGCATATGGTAAAAAAAACAAATAAAACTCTTTATTAATTACCAATTTTCCCAAATCAAGCAAAATTGATTTATTTGACAATATGAAAATAATATAAAAATACAATTAACCCCTCTAATAATATCAAATTCGTTAAATCTAATAGTTAATACAATAAATAGATCATTCTTATTATTTTTGATGAATAAATAAAATTGATTGTTAATAGAATAGAATGCATAATAGATAGATCAATTTTGTTGTTCTTAATGAATAAATGTATTAAATTCCTCTTTGTATAACATAATGTAACAAAATGATATTAATAAAGAACAGTTTGAACTTCTAATCATGAACAAATGATTATAATCATAAAATTCCTGAACATTTAATCTATATAAAACTAATAAGTAAAAGTAAAATAAAATGAGTACTAACCTTGAAATAATCTGAAAAAGAAATAGCAAAAACAAAGAAACTCCTGAACAATGTCGAACACGTCTTAATTGTGAAAGTGAATGAAAATGTCAGAAAAGAGCAGAAGAAACAGAAAACAAACGTAAAGAAAGACTTACAAGTGAATTTGAATAGCAAAGACAGAAAAGATCAAATGAAACTAATGAGGAACGTAAGAAATGCAATAATTATAAGAATAAAGAAAATGTAAACTTCGAATACAAAAAAACAAAAATATAAATGAAATAGATAGTCAAAATCAAGTAAATCAAAGAGACGATAATGAAACAATGGAGTTAGATCTAATAAATCAAGGAAGAAACCAAAGAGAATACATAAATATAAATGATCAACTAGTATCAGCCACTAATATTAGGAATAAGAACATCACACATTGCAAAAATTTTAACACAAAATGAACGATATTCAGTATAACGTCTGTCCTGAATGCAATGAACAAACTCCATTATATGTAAATGAGAATAAATTTATTTATTATTTATTATGTCTAATAAAAATAAATACAACACATTTTAGGGAGAATTTATTAAATCTATATTGCAGGCAGTTTCTTTTTTAGGAAAATATATCACAGTATTTATAAATAGCTGATATTCATTATCTCAAATGATAAGCAGACAGATAAACGAACACAATGTATAGAAAGTAATTAGTCCTTCACTAACGCTCTAGACTAACTAATACTGAGTTTTTCCTGAATAGCTATTATATCCTTCTTCTTATATAATAGCACTTCATATAATTGATTAAGTGTTTTAGTATTATTTGCCATGATTGCTATAATAAATTAATATATTTAATATGAAAATTTCGAGTCTGAAATACAGATTATCATCACGGAGTGGTAATCACTAGCTCAGAAGAATTTGCTGATCTATGTACAACGTCTATCTCTTCATTTTTTTCTTCGAGATTTTGAATTCACTCTTCTAAAGTCAAGATTATGGTTCGTAAAAGAATAAAAGAAATATTCAATTTACACTATCGGCAATTTCAACATCAGCCAAAAAGACTCAGCCCAAAAGTGTGACAGTAACGGATACAAAATTGCAAGAACTTATTTGTCAAGGTTTAGTAGTTGATGAAGTTTATGAAGTATTATCATATGATCGAAAAAATATGCCTTGGATTGATAACTTTATTAATCTTTTGATTAAGCTCAAAAACTAATGCGATGATTCAAGAGAAAAAGCATATCACTCCTTAATGAAAGAACTCTTTAATATGAAGGTATTTCATGATGTATCCAGTCAAGATGGACCCATCTCCAAAGTAGAATATTATGAAAATAAAATAAATACTCGTATAATTGATTTCATCATTCTAATGGGACAAGGTAAAAAAGGATGGTTAAGCCCAATGTTGTCATAGGACATAGTTAGGATACTGATAGGACAGATGGGACATATATGAAACATAGTTGAAACATATAGTTGGGATATATAGACAGGACAGCAAATGCTTAGAATATAGGAAATGTACATCACTGGTTAAGCCGTGAATCAGTTACGATATTACATCAACTGATAACTATGAAAATAGTGGTAAATTTACTTAATGATACCGAAAATAAAGGTCCTGAAATGCGTGAACAAATAATTATTTTCTAAAGATATTCTCTCAAAGTCACATAAATTTTTTTGGCAAAATTTCATTTACCTCGAGTAAGAGAAATCACATGATTTTTTATTTTGAATTCTCATATACAGTGTATTAGTTATAGAATATGTTAACTGAACAAGAATTATTAAAGCAACACAATGATGAACTTGAGGCTGAAATTATCTCACTTAGAAGGAAGTTTGCTGATTTTGAGATTGAGAAAACTAATTTTGAGGCTGAGAAAACTGAGTTTAAGGCCAGGATTGCTGAGCTTTTAAGATAGGCTGTAGAAGAAAGTAAGAGACGTGATATTGAGAATACTGAACTCAAGGCCAGAATTGAGGAGTTAGAATCTGAGTTTAGAAATAAAATTATGAAAGTGAAATAGAAGCAGACTCTAAATAAAAATTCATCTAACTTCAATTTGGTTACAGATCAGATATCAATAGTAATGCATTACGAGAAACCATTAGTGGATACTTCATTATCTGAAGACAAGGAAACAGACACTTTCTTAAATAAAATGCGTAAGAAAAAGGTTAGTGATGAGATTGGTCAATGTAATAGGAAGAAGAAACTTCAAGCCTAAGAGTCCCATCCTGAAGAGAAAATGCATCAAAAGCTTAGTGAGAACATTGACCTAGATTCACTCAAGTCTCCTACCTCTGATTTAGTGATCCATTATCAAAAGAAAGTTGCTAAGGGTAATAAATCACATAAGAAAAAAGGAATGGATGAACTCAAGCATAAATTATTTAATTCCTCTTTAGAATCAGATAATCTATTTTTATAAACCATAATAATGCAACTGAAATTTCTATATGTAAAAAGCTACCAATAATAATATTGAAGAAGTTTCACATTATCTAGTTCAATTATGTGATAAAGCTATTGATGCTGAAGATAGAGTAAATTGAGCTAATCAGGAAGAAATTCTATATTGATGTCTCTACTGAAAGGATTTTAAAAATCAGTTTGATGAGATTATTAAAAGCGTTGATGGAAAATTTAGTGAAAAGAAAACAAGAAGTATACTTTATAATACCATCACAGAACAGCTTTCTATTCTTTGCAAGAAAAGATCATAAGAACTGGGGGTACAACTTAGTGATGTATCACAGGATAACTTGCATAAAAAAACTCAGAGAGCTGAAAAAACTATAAATTTTTCAAAATAATGGGTCTAGATAAGATCAAGTATATTAATTCTTATAGTATGAATTCTCTTTCTGAGCTTAATAATGAGCAAATTTAAGAGATTATAGATTATGAAATATTTTTGGAAAAATTACCTCTAAAAATAGATCAATTGACTGAAATTTCTGAGACGGCCTGTCCTGAAAAAACCTTGCCTATGCCTGAAGAAAATTCATCATTATCAGCTGATTTAAAGGATTATATAAAAACGCTTATGAAGGGTATTGACGATGAGACAGTAAATTAGGATACATCATACGAGAACAACTTAGCAGTTAAGATAGTGGAAAAAACGAATGATGATAATAACTGTAATCATGACAATGATTCTGAAAAAGAGATGCTAAACGATTTAGATGATGATGGATATAATGGATATAATGGAAACAGTGGATATGATAGCATTTTTATTATTATGATGGAAGATACAAAAGAAAAACCTTACCAATGATGAGTCCTATCATATCTCCAGTATCTGGCTAGGAGAATTATTACAGTAGTGGCGGAAAGTAATGATAATATCACGTGACTTGATCAACATTGCTTATCACTTCCTTTTTAATAGTTAACTCTTTATTTTTTTGCGTATTTATTAAACCAACACGTGATTTACAATATAAATAAACAAATAATCACAAGATCGGTAAAAAAAAATTTTTTTATCTCTCTTTTTTCATCATAACAAAAAAACTCTCTTTAAATGAAAGACGGTCATTTGTAAGCAATTTGTAGGCAAATGGAGTCCATGATATTAATGAATTACATAAAATAACACATATTTCGAAATCCACATTATACACTTATATCCGAAAACTTGAAAATTTTGGTACTATTAAACCAAAACCACATTCTGGAAGGCCAAAACTTTTATCTCCAAAAAAATGGGCTCATCTTGGAAAATTAGCTAGTACAAGAAAATGTGCAACTAGCAAGGAAATTGCTTTTACACTTAATCAAACATATCCCAACCTTAATATTGCTCCCAGAACTATCCGTGAAAATCTTTTTAATCTAGGTTATTGTGTTTGCATACCAACATCAATACTAATGTTAACCATTGCTGCCAAAGAACGTAGGGTTGAATGGTCAAAATCTCATCTAAATGAAAATTGGAAAAAAATCATTTTTTCTGATGAAACTACATTTCAACTATTTCGTAATACAACACTGATAAGATATAAGATTAGAGAAGAAATACCACGATGTGCAGTTGTAAAACATCCACTCAAAGTTCATGCATGGGGTGCTTTTTGTGCAAGCGGAATTGTGGGGTTTCATTGTTTTACTGAAAATATGAATGGAGAACTTTACCGGGATATTTTAACTAAAAATCTTTTTACTAGTGCTACCAGAGTTCTTGGAAGAAGGTATACATTCCAACAGGACAACGATCCCAAGCACAAGGCAAAATTAACAACGATTCTTCTTCAAAAAAAGTGTCCGCGAGTGCTTGATTAGCCATCCTATTCTCCGGACCTCAATCTCATAGAGAACTTATGGGCAATAATGAAAAAAAAGGTGGAAAAGAGGGTAAATCAACTTATAATACAAAAAAAACCAGTTGTATTAAATGATTTTTTGTCAATTATTCGATCTGAATGGGAAAATCTTGATTCAAACCTCCTATCGAATTTATGTGCGGGTATGAAAAAACGTTTAGAAGACGTTATTGAAAAGAAGGGTCAAATAATCAACCATTAAAATTTTATTTTTATTTACATATAGTATTACATTATATACCATTAAAGTTTTGTGTAAATAAAATAAAAATTGATTAAAAAAACATATAACCTAAAAATTATCATTATTTTCCGCAACTACTGTAGGTGGATTATATACTGAATTATCATATAGGTCTATTTTTTTTAGCCGAATCGAGATCAGCAAATTAATAGACATCAGAGTTACCATATTTGTTTCATGTTTCTGACGATCGTAGCATCCGGTCGGAGTTAAAATCGGTCAGTTAACCAGTTCAGTTACTTTACTATCGTTAAAATGTAAAATAATTTTTTTTTTTTTTTGAAAAAGAAGACCCGTCACTTGAAAGAATGAGATATTTTAAATATTTTCATGAAATTTGAGATGAATGTCAAGAAGGAACCAAAGTTATTTAAGTTAGAAAATATGTAAACTTTAATAAGGAATTTACAGCATTATAAAATAGTTTAAATTAGAGTATAAAATAGCTTAAAACGAAAAAAAAAAAATTTTTATGCTACCGTTCATATGTTTTGATTTACATACACCCCAACATGGAGGGTCACATGTTTATTTAATTCATTCACTTTACAACTAACGTACTCGTGCTTTTAAACATTTCTAACAAAAATTCATAAAAAGATTATTATTTTATTGCTTTTACAGTTAATAAAGACTTCATATAAGATAAATCATCCGATCTAAAGTGATAAATAAGGTTCAGTAGATTCTTTGAAAATGTCAACTATACACTTTTAACTTGGGAGATTATGATCGAATAAAAAGAAACTATCGTTACATAAATTTTAAATATTTAAAAGGCTGTAAAATTTATTGAACATACATTTCTGATATACAAATAAGTATTGCGGGCAAGAATCTCTTCAGGATCACAGATCAGTTTTGGCTTGGTTAAGGACAATTAGGCGCCACGACTATCGCATATTAGGCAATCATTTGTTATTCAGGGAAGTAAATAATTTTCTGCTAAAAAAGAAAAATCTGTACTTACGCGAATGATCCGGACATCCGGCACACCTAAATAGAAATAATTCATTAAGTATTCTCAAATTATTTTGTAATGCAAATTCTGGAATTGCAAATTACTTACAGAAACGAACAGCAATTAAGATCAGCGCCTGAGGTCAATTCAGCATGCCAACAATTTGCATAGTTATAAATACATTTGCTACAGCATGCATAATAAACTTTAGAGTTAGTTGTAGGACAACTCACGTATGCAGCATTAATTCTGCTCATAATAATTGAGAAAAGGAGCAAAGTGCTAATAACATTTAGTTTCATTTTGACAGTTTCGATAAGAAAGTTTTACCTATTGTAAATGGTAACAATTTGATAGCATTATTTGTCCTTTATATACTGTATACCCAAGCACAAAAATAATGATGGTAACAGAAAAAAAGCATTTTCACGTATGATGATGGACAACAGGTGGTTTTTTTGCGACACTACACAATGGAAACCTATTTTTAAATTTGAAATAATCGTGGAAGGAACTAAGGAAATCCATTTGACTATTAATGCAAATTTTGCGATTTTTTTATCGAAATAATAAATTAAACTGAATAGATTTTTTTCAACGCTCAAATTTTTTGTTCCGGACATCGCCAGAAAACGGATTTACAGTATTTTGTACAATACAAAAAATCATGCTATATGGAAGTAGCACGACCTCGGAATTTTAAAGTCCTCAGCCCCTTCATAGGAAAGCCCTGCATCACAAATAAACATTATTTCGGAGGTTTTTGTTGGTGAGAAAATATTCGTTTCACTGACCTGCATATTTCGGGCAAAAGTTAATCGCAAAATCAATCTATGATTTGTCTTCTAACCCATGATGTGGCACAGTAAATTTTCCCAACTGTCAAGGCTATTCCGGCTCCTGTGATCCAAATACTTCACACCTTGGCTTGTTTTGAAGCTCTCAATGCCCTGCATCTGGTCGAATTGCTTTGGGGTTTCTACAACTTCTGGAGCACGTTTCGTAGGCGAATGAAGTTTCAATACTCATATAGTGCAAATAATACATTAGGGGACTCACTGGGTAGCTATGAATTCTTAAATAACAACCTACAAATTTCTCACCTCCTTTAGGTTACCAGAACCGGAAACTAGTATTTTGTAGGTTGCCAGGCCACCAAGATTTCTCACGCCACTTTGGCAATCTTGCCTCCACAAGATTCTTTCGTGATTATGTCTAAAATAATTGACCTTACATTTCTCGAAATAACTCTGCATCCAGTGATCCGTTTTTCACGAAATTTGAGATGATAGATGTTCCGAACCTGCCGAATCCAGTCGCGTAATCCTCATCAAAATTGGGTCATTGGTTGACGAGCTATTCGCGTTCCAAATTCGTTACGGCAAATCGAACTTTTATGACAATTTCCCTTGAAGCCTTTCTTCTGTGGGAGATAACCTAACCATTTTAGTAAGAAAAATAATGGTAAACTTTTTGCCTGAAAACATTGACCGAGGAGAATGCTAATATTTTGACTTTATTGATTAATAAGAGGCCTGCATGTTAATACAGCTTAATTTCGGAATCAGAATCAGCAAATTAATAGATAGGATTACCATATTTGTTCCAGGAACTTTCATGTTTTGCGACGATCGTAGCGATGAAATTTTATTTATAAAAATACTGGATATGGTGGTGGTGTCTGGTAAGAGAATCGAATAAAAAGTAATATATTAATTTTGCAAAAGCATAATTCAACCAATTCTCCAAATACTCTAACAAGTACTCTGCTCCAAATAAAACCAAAAAGCTTTTTAAGCATAATCAATTATAAATATCGCAAATCGAAAAATAAAGTTTTGTATATACTTCAAAGACCTTATTCAAACCAATCTCTCAACGAATCTCTCATCACAAAATGCTTTCAAACTCTGATATGTTTTTGATCGTACTTTTCAGCATCATAATTATAATCTATAAGATGCTAACCCGGGGTGTCCTAACAATAGAGACGCTCTAAGATATTTTTTCAGGAAATGCCATAATATATATAATCTTTGCAGGGGGCGTATTATTTTTACGCAAATATATCTCTCCAACTCTGACCCCACAAATTGCCAAACTCGAAAAATCGATATTGGCTTTAAATAATGAAATACAAAAAAATGAAAGGAGAGGCAGAATGGCATTGCGTATTGCAAGGTAAGAAAATTTTGCTCTTCCTAGTGTCTTTGCATATGTCTTCAAGGGTAAATAGGCACTAACTTTTTTATTATTTATCATTTAAATTCATCTTGATTCTCTTCCAGCCATGTATCTACCAGTCAATATACAGAATATCCCGATAAAGTCCAAACTTTATGGGTAGAATTTACAGCCTTATTTAATCAAAGAAGAAGGAAGGAGGAGTGCTCTCAGTTTCCAAAGAGATAATAGAAATCGTCTTAAAAGGAACAAACAATCGTTCCCAAAGTAATGATTTATTTATTCTCAAAGAGACGATAGAAATCGTCCCCAAAGGAATGATAGAAATCATCTCAAAAGGAACAATAGAAATCGTCCCA